ACAAGTGGCAGTCGTTCCTTCTGATCTTGACAAACTTGTACCTTCACTCGCTGGTTTGTGGTTTGCAGTGTTTTTCAATCTGAGTGTTGTTGCATATCAGTGTACTAAAATATAGTTTATTTGTCCCTTTTCCATTCTAAAACCTATACATACTTGCGTTGTGATGTTTGTGAATTTTCTGCATAATCCACCGAATGACCATACGCATGATTATATCAACCATGAGCATTGAATGAAACGAACATAGCAAATTACCTCGTTTTGCCCCTCTATTTTCCAGGAAGAACCGGCTGCTTCCGCTGCAAAACCAACCCTGGATGAAGATGGTGATTTAGATATGGATGATGGTGATCGTTACGGTGATGAGCTTGATATGCCTGGACAGAAGTTCGACAGCAAACAGCGACAATCCATTCGCAACTTGCGTATTCGTGAAGATACGGCAAAGTACTTGTTTAACTTGGATCCGAATAGTGCCTACTATGATCCGAAAACCCGTGCCATGCGAGAGAATCCATTTGAAAATTCTGGCAAACCCGAATCGGAGGTTCCGTTTGCTGGTGACAATTTCGTGCGCTTTGATGGTGAAGTTCAAGATATGGTTCGTCGACAGGTTTTCGCTTGGGAAATGCACAACAAGCTCGGATTAGATGTGCATCTCCAAGTAAGCATGTTTAATACAGAATGTGTTTTACTTTTAGCCTACCTTTCTACTACTTTGATGATGTAGTTAGAATTCAACCTTGATTTCCAATCATCATTTACTTCTGGTTATACGAAACTTCATTCGATCTTGGTCAAATCAAGTTCACTCATCTTTCTTATGTCCTAAATTTATTTTGTAAATTTGGGGGTGTGGCTTTTACATACATCTCCGGCTATCACTTATATTTTATCCAAATTTATTCTTATTTTTCACGATTCATTTGCATCATCAAGTTTCGTCATTACGTCGAATGAATGCAACAAGCATGAAGTTTCATTATTGCACAACTGGGATTGCGAACAGCAGAAAGCTCACCATCATCAACCATCACAGGATGAGTTGATCTAGTGTTGCGGCTGGTCACCCTTCTCTTGCACCTCGCGAAATGTCCCCATACGACCAGGCGTCTCGAATAGCCTCTGCTGAGGAAGCCCTACTCACTGCCTTCTCGTGCCGGAGGTGTTTTCCCATCAAAGTGAGAGGATGAGAAACCGACATCCGGTGCTATAACCGGGTTGGTGAACCATTGGCAGTTCACCTAAGGGAGTTGGCTAAAATCCCTGATTCCAATCCAACCAAGAGGAGGCGCACAAACCACACAGCTTTTCGGTTGTGGCAGTGGTCACCGGCTCAATTGGGCATCAAGGTGTACTGAGCACCTTAGGCGTTCGGCCCCGTCCAAAGGGTGTATGATCCGATGGATCCCAATGGCGCTGCCTTTTTCTGTAAGGTGTGCCCTAGAAATTTGTTTCAATATTACGATCGCTTTATACTAATAGCCGAAGTCGAGTTCGAGCTTACGGCACTTTTTCACTCGAGTTCACCACGGAAAGTGGTGTTCGACAGGGCTGCCCTCTCTCTCTCTCCTTTTCTATTCAACTTTGTCGTAGATTTAATTCTTGAAACAGCCCTATCCTCGTGCGAGGACAGTGGCATCGATTTACTCCCAGATGGCAGGCTGTCTGATCTATTGTGCTACTAAGTGAAGATCCAGGTAAGTTGAAAGCTTTTCTGGATAAATTGAATGCCAGTGTAGCCATGTTCGGCATGCGTTTTGCACCTTCGAAGTGTAAAATTCTACTACACCCAGTCTCAGCCTAACTG